TCTCTTATTGAGCCATGCCATAGTCTGAGCGTTGAAAAAGACTAGTATATTTAAAAGACTTATATATTATATATCATTTGGACAAAGATCTGGAGGTGGGGAGGAATCTATCAGCAGGATCTTTTGGGAAAGATATTCATCAGTATCAATCAAACCTCTTAGAAAGAGCACTTTTTTTGGTACCGGGTATTGAACTCCGGTCCTTGTGCTTGCACTGCAGGTGGCGAACCCACTGAGCTAAATTCCCGGCCCAAGAGCATGTTTTTAGTACACAGCAGAAACAAGGGCAAATCACAAAGATACAGCAGGAACCAGAAGGGTGGCCCTTAGTCATGGCCCACAGTGCTGTGTTTAATAGCAAAACTGGAAGCAGAGGCAGTGACTGACAGTAGGGGTGATTCTGAACATCACGGGACTTCCTTTTCATAGAACACCATGCAGATATTTAAGATGATGGTGCAAGATTTATGTTTATTGACATGGAATGTATCTACTATAAACTGTGACATGAAAATAGCAATGTGGGAGGGGGATGTAGCTCAGTGGTAGAGCACTGGGTTCAACCCCCAGTGCTTCCAGAGAGAGAGAGAGAGAGAGAGCGAGGGAGAGAGAGACTGACTCATTTCACTTCCTTCTTAAGAAATCTGTGTACCACTTTGTACCTGCTAGGATGCCTGTAACTTTTTTAAAGACAGTAAAACTTGGGGAAGATGTTGAGAAACCTTGCTAATGGGGATGTAAAATGGTGCTTTGTTTTTGTTTGTTTTTTTTGTACCAGAGATCGAACTCGGGGCCTTGCACTTGTGAGGCAGGCAGCTGAACCACTGAGCTAAAGCCCTGGCCCTAAAATGGTGCTTTGAAAAAAACGACCCTGAAATCCATATGCCCCAAAGAAATAAGGCATATGTCCACACAAAAACTTACACATGAATTTCATAGCAGAATTATTCAACACATCCTCAAAGCAGAAACAAGTCAAATGCCCATCCGCTGGTGCATAAGTAAAAAGTGGTATGTTTGTACTACGGAGGTATTATTCAACCTTAAGAAGAAACAAAGAACAGATACATGCTATGGGATGGCTAATTTTGAAAACATTATGCTTATTTTATTTATTTATTTTTTTGGTACCGGGGATCGAACTCGGGTCCTTGTGCTTGTGCAGCAGGCAGTGAAACCACTGAGCTGAATCCCCGGCAACATTATGCTTATTAACCAAAAACCATATTTTGTCTTTTGTGAAGACTTCCATTCATATGAAAAGTAGATAGAATGTCCAGAATAGGCAACTCTATAGGAACAGATTAGTGGGTGGCTAGGGTTCAGGCAAGGGGAAATAGGGTTGCTAATGGGTATGAGGTTTCTTTTTGGACCAATAAAATTGTTCTAAAATTGATTGTGGTGATGGTTGCACAACTCTATGAATAAACCATTGAACTGTATACTTTAAAATGGGTGAATTACGTAGCGGGATAATAATGTTAAAAATTTATAGGTATAGAAGCAAAGGAAAAACTTTGGAAATTATGTTTCATCAAAATATTAATAGTGGTTGTGTCTAAATGTGGGATTATCTTGCAGTTCCATTTGTGTACCCTCCACTACCTTTAGAAGTGTGCAAACACCATGCATTCACGCACTCAGGGAAGCAAGACAAACCTCTTATCCCCTCTCCTATTCCAGAATGTTTTAAAGACCTTTCAACTCCAAGGACTCTCACACACCATTGCAAACATTAAAAATCACTAAAGTTCTACAGTACTTGTACTACTTTCCATGGAAACATAGGAGACCACGTTTATACTTTGTTTTTGAAATCATTGCCCTACAAAGAACTGATCTATGATTAGCTATAGTTTTCTGAGCCATTACCATACAAACTTGGGAAATTGTGCAAGAGGCAGAATTGGTCACCAGCAGAGAGCCTTCCAATGTAATGAGATTTATTATAAATTAACAATGATGCCACTATGCTGTGGTTAATAGACATGTAAACATTAATTAGATTTTTGAGGGGTTTTTTATAAAAAGAGACTATTTCAAACAGGACCGGAGGTGTGTCTTGCAGTAAAATCTGGTGAAAATGGCAATTCTGGGTGAAACTTGCATTGATGTACAAATTTTAAATGCTTTAGTAATGACTGATTTCTGCTACAGTGTAAATTAAATCAATCAATCTGCCAATTTTGACATTCATCACAGAGCATACTGTTGTAAAAGTTAAATTATTTCAATGGTGGGCAGTCTCTCTGGCCTCCCCCACCACTCATGCCCCCTTCCCAGCCTTCTGCCCCTGGCCTCCAGCCACGGGGGGATTGGGGGACAGCTGGGTGGGGTCCCTGAGTCTTCTCTTCCCTCCCCTTTCTTTCTGTTGGTTGTTGCTCCAACTGGGTGTATTGCTATTTAATATTGCACTGAAGGTTTTTTACTTTTT